GCGCATGTGTTCATTCAGCTCTGTATGGTTTCTTCGCGTGTCCGTGAACCCTTCACCAGAGCCAAGCTGCAGAATGCTTCCATCACCAGGACAGGCCACAATCCCCTTTGTAAGCTCACCCAGATGTCCCCATCCCTGACCCTCAGCAGCCGCTCATCTGTTTCCCATTTCTCTGACTTTGTCATTTGCAGAATACTCTCTACCCGGAATCATGCACACTGTGGCGACTCAGCAAGGCTGCTGTGTGTCCAGCATCTCATCTCCCTGCTGCTGAGTAGCAGTCCGTGGTGTGTATACACCAGTTTGCTTCGTCACTCACCCACTGAAAGGTGTTCCTGGTGTTTCCAGTTACAGGGATCATTAGTGGAGCTGTTATAAATACTCACGCAGAAGGTTGTGCCTAAACATTTCTGCAGCATTTCATTATGTCAGCTTATAATTATTTTAATATTGCTAAGGATGACCTGCCAGAGCCATGAGAGAGAGATGTGGGTGGTGGGGAGGAAAGGAAAAAAATGCACACGTAATCCTCAGTTAAATTAAAGCAAAAAGAGTAAAAATACTAAGATGGACAAGGAAAAGTGCTAAGGTTTAAGAATAGATGTTTTTCAGACACAGCATGTGAAATGGGATCATCTCTGTTTGACTACCACCATTTTCTAAGCTGTGTTTGTGTGTGTGTGTGTGTGTGTGTGTGTGTGTGTGTGTGTGTGAGAGAGAGAGAGAGAGAGAGAGAGAGAGGGAACAGACTTGTGTGTTTGTGCGTTAACAGGCTTCTTGGAGAACATCACAGCAGGTTACTTACTGTGGAAATGTCATCTAACTGCTCAGCCTGCAGCTCAGGGAGGACCCTCTGGAAACCCTGGATGGCGGGTCAGTCAGTGAAGTCATTACCGTGATGAATGGATGATCCACTTCAGGAAGGTGCGGGCCTGAGGTTGGGACCACTGCTGGGAAGCTGATGAGGTCACTGACCGGAGGAGGCCCTGAAGTCAGTGTGTCAGGAAGACGGGATGGAAGAGAAGAGAAGGAGACAAAATCCATCAAAATGCGTGCCTGTGTGCGTCTCATCCAGAAGCACCAGCTGCTCGAGGGCCACCTTGGAGAAGGCAGAGACGGGTTGTAACCGGAGCTTGGATCGGGGTGTGCAGGTGCACTGCAGTGAAGGCTTAGTTGGGGAGCTGAAGGTGTATCAGCCTCTTGTGCTCCTGTCCCCATGTGTGAAAATACCTGTTGGATGTTCCCACTCCCCTCAGCATCTGTCAAGTTGTGGGCCAATGGTGGCATTGAAATTGGCCTCTGCTTTCCAGTTCCCTGCTTAGGGACTCTGGGTTTCCTGTCTCGCCAATGCCTTTTTTTAATCTTCTCAACATTTTTCCAATTACACTTGTGTCTTAGATGTATTTCAGGAACTTACGTGTATTAGGGATATTGAACTTTGCCACGTGTGTAAACAAGTATTCTCTCTGTATATCATGTTTTCATTTCTGTAATGTTTTATTTTTGGAAGTTTTAAATGCATAAATATTGTCAGCATTGTTTGTTCAAAAGCTTTTAAGTTCTCTTAACATGGTTAGGAAGACTTTCCCTGCAAATGCTTTTAAACAGTCTCATATTGCTTTAAATAAACTTATTTTTTAAATTTTGTTGATTGGAATTTATGTATGGCATAAAATTTTCCCCAAAATGTTTATTTTCTCAACATCATTTATAGAGAAACTTATTTTTCCTCTCCCATTTGCAATTACAAATGTATTATAAATTAACTTTCATGCATTCTTGGACATAGTCATCAATTTTCTCTTCTGGAACAGCTTATTTTGTTATAATAGTAACTTTTTAGAATATTTTAATATTTGATAGAACAAATCTACCTAAATTATGCATATATTTCACATTGTTCTTGGCAATGCTCACATATTTATTCTTCTATATAAATCTTATATTTAATTTTTCCAGCTCCCAAATATATCCTTGTTAAGATAATGACAGAAATTTTATTAGGCTTAATTGTTTATTTTAGAGGATTGACATCTTAATTAGGATTAAGGTTGTCATTTTAAAGTTCCTGGATGTGTCCCCGCACAGTGTAGTTTACTTCACATGGGAGTTACATATTTATTATTGTGTTTACTATTATGTACTTGTACTGATATTACAATGTTAACATATACCTTTTGATATTTTTCCATTTAATTCTCAAATTTTTTGTTAAAATTTGCTATATATCTCCCTGTACTGCTACTTAAGAAACGATCGGGTATAATCATTGAGATTGCAGCTCCTTTGTCTCTACCATGTCAAAGTGTCTGTTAGTGAAGACGCGCTGTCTCTGCTGGGATCCTCCACGCCACGTTGGCACGGTTCTCATTCCGGTCTCATGGCCCCTCAAAGCCATCGTGGGAACTGGTGACGGGTCTCTTCTCCTGATGCGGTGAGACTTCTCTTAACACTCTTCACTTCATGCCGTGTTTGCTGTGGGCTTTCGATTCATAGTCCTTCCAGGGGCTTATGTTTTCCCCTTTTTAATTTATTTTATTTTTCATTTTAAAAAGTAGCGGAGGTTTTTCCCGCTGAGTGGGCTCCTTGTTTTGCAGCTCAGCCGCCAAGGTGGGGGTCCCTTTGGACCCCCGTCCTTCCTTTGGCCTTCTCTTTGACTCCCCGAGGGGCGGGGTGCTCCTTGCTCCCTTGCTTTCTGCAGCTGAGGGTGGGCGCACCTGGAAGACCTGCCACCTCTCACACGCCTGGCGGGCCTGCCATGGGACACTCGGGCCGCTCTTCCATTCTTCACGCGGGGTGTGCAGTGTTTCTCTCAGCGTGGAGCACACTGATCACCTTTCAGCAGTGACACGAAACGCCTGCTCTCTGGTCCTCCCGAGTGACGGCCCCTGGGGAAGCTCTGGTCACACACCCACCTGGGACACGTCCCCTGAAGGAATACGCTAAGAGTCATGAGCCACTCGCTCCTCAGGGTTCTCCAGGCTTCTCTCCTCACTTGAGTCAGATTGGACATCAGCTGGCCCCTGGGACAAACGTGGGTAGCGGTCAGCCCAGGGCGGGCGCTCACAGAGCTCCCCAGCTGACTCACCCTGCAGCCAATAGGAAAAAGGAGACAATCAACACACCGCACACTTCCTCTGGGCTTGAAGTGCTGATTAGGGAAGACCCATTCTATCATATTCTGCATGTCGCACACAAGGGTTTTGCATAACCTATTTATCTCAGAATTTGGGGGCTGGAAATGATCTTACTTTCCTGTGAGATGGAATGAGTTTACTATTAAATAAAAAATGTCACCCAGATCCTCAGATTTCACTAGGAGCCAGGATGCTCCCTACTCGTCTGTTTATTTTTCTGTCCTTTCTTCCTGCCTTCCTCTTCGCCGTCCCTCACGGGTGTGCTATCGGGTGAGGTTCTTGTTACTGTACCGTCAGCTTCCTTTGTGGAAGCATCAGGCATCATCAAGACTAGACATGTGTAAACAAGAACTAAAAATAAAGAAAAGCAGCCTCCGTGATTATAAGGCAAAGGAAAGGAAATGGCCATGCTTGCTTTCTCCTACCTATTGTGATTGTATGGGCTCTAACGGTTGGCTCAGATCTGTGGGCAAAAAAAGGAGTTCATTCCTGTAAATGAGTCATTTTTGGAAACTTCCGTCTGTCTCTATATTTATGGGAGGGTCACAGGTTGATATTAGCTCTTGAATCCTGGGATGATGTGTCAGAAGAGGAGATATTTATATATCTGTTTTGATACTGTGATGTGGAAACTCTCAAGACCAAAGGAAAAATAGTATTTTCTTTTATTGGAAACGATTTCTAATGACCCTGCAGGCTTCTATACATAGCTTTCCAAATTTACTCTCATATGAACAATAAATAAAATGAAACAATAAATGAAAGCCTTGAAATGTCCTTTCCAATACTTGGCTATTATATCATATTCTGCAAGAGTACCAAGCCCCAAGACCCTTCACATTCTTGAAGCCCATTTTCCCCAGAGGTCTGGTCTAAAATGCAGTGTCAGGGAGAAGACTCTTCATCTGGGCTCTCTCCACTTCCCACTCAAGAAAGATGGGTGAGGGACACAGTCCTCTGTGACATCACAGCCAGGCCGCAGAGCCTGTCTCAATGCCGGTCAGCCTCTCATTCTGAGCCCTGAGGCAAGCCATGGGTCACCTGACTTACCTGGACTCAGGAGGAGCTCTGGGTGGACCCCAGGTCCTTCACCAGGTCCTGCAACTCTGCTCACTCCTGCCGGAGGTGCTCCAGAGACTATGCACTGGCCTCAGGTCATGGCTTTGGAAAGGCGGCTCCAGGAGGCTGGGAGTATTTGTTACCACCCTCCTAACAGCTCTGACTTCTGTAGCATCTCCAGGCAAAGGTTGCAGGGTCACCTGTATCAATCCCCATTTCACTTTTCTCTGAAAAAACAATATAAGATGTAACAGAGATAATATTTTAAACTCTTTTTTGGTGTATTCTTTACTCATATAAATATTTTTTGTCCTGAGATTCATAACTCATGAAATAAATAGTTTTCTGTAATTTAAGAGAGGGGAGAAAATTGCCTAAAACCAAAGTTTCCCTGAATGCTAGGCTTTTTCCAGAAAAAGGAGGCGGGAGGGGCTCCAACTTTTCCCACATACCAAGGGCATCTCTGTGAAGTGTGAGCCAAGACAAGCTTTCCCAGTAAAGGGGGACATGTGACAATAGGAAAGAAGGACAAGGTGTACAATGGGTTGGATTCAGTGAAGTGGGGACAACTTGGAGGAAAAGGGTTGTCTCATATCCCTGAGTTTGTTTCCAGGTTGAAACGCACAGAACACTAGGGGAGCCTCACTGTGCAGTGGAGGGAGGCTGGCTCTTCCAGCAAGAATGCAAAGAGGAGTGGAATTAGCCCGGAGGAACTCTGCCCCAGGTCCATACCGTGCTTCTTCCCCATGTCCAGGAAGGCTTTCTTTTCAGCTCTTTATCTGTCATCCTCTGAGCCTGGAGGAAGGTAGCCTTGGAGATGCTGGAGGGGTCTTCTCTGTGTGATGTTCTGAAACATGAGGTCCTTGCTCACCTAGTTGTCATTCTCTCTCCTGCCCTGGGAGACGGCCAGCAGGACACCACTATGGTCCATCTCTCAATGATTTCTTCCAGTACTGTTTTTGTTTGTTTGTTTGTTTTCTTAATTAAGACCTAGAATAAAAACAATCCCAAAGAGTAAAACAGACAGTCAAAAATCGTACAAGTTTCCTAAGGCTGCTGTAACAAAGCATCCCCAACCAGGTGGCCTAAAGCCACAGGCAGGCCTCTGCTCACAGTTCTGGAGCCTAGAGGCTGGTAGCCGGGCTGGCTCCTGGTGAAGCCTGTTCCAGGCCTTCTTTCCCCATCCTACCTGAGCCTTCATCTCTCCAATGTGACCTCTCTGCGTGGGTCCAGCCCAGATTGCCCCTTCTCATAAGGACATTGTCATACTGTCTGAGGGGTCCACGGTCTTCCAGTCTGGCCCATTGGTCCTGTTTCCAAATAAGGTCACAGAGCTGGTGGGTGGGGTGGGGGCAGGTACGGGGAGGGCTAGGACTTTGCCACACGAATTTGCAGGGGCACAATTCAACCCATAACATTTGCTTTGCCTTGTTTTTAAATTTGCATAGACAATCACAAGAAAATAAAATAAAAGGCATTATTATTATTGTTATTAATGTTAGGGTCCTGATGTTAAAGAAACCTGAGACGTCTGCATGGTTTTAGAAACCTTTTGGCTTTTAGCTGCCTGTGACCCTCCTTGACATCCTGTGGCTCATTAGGAGCCCCACAGGTGGACCCCACGCAGCCTGTGCCCACTGTGCCCTTGCTTTATATCTAGAGTTCCATTTTTTTCCATGTAAATATGAAAACACTTGAAAGAAAGATATTTTCTCCCTCTCAACTGCAGATAGTTTTAAAAAGGAGATTATTGTGCAACTTTGTTAAAGCAGTCCATTGAAATACATCTTTTTAAAAATTAAGGCATCTGAAGTCTAAAGACAGTAGTAGAGCTCAAGCGTATCTTAAAATCAGCGAGAAACGTTATTTGAGAGGTGGATGATTTAATTGATTCTTGTCATAAAAGTCAAAGTAGCAGAAACCATCCCTGAGAATTCCAAAGGCCTTCCAACCTTGCCACACCATAGTCTCCAGGAGAAATGTCAGATGTCAGTTCACTTCCATGGCAGCTATAACCTCAGGGAGAAGTTTAAGGTGAGTCTGCGAGGGCAGGCCTGCTTGCCATCAAAGCATATTTTATGTACCTGGTTGAGGAAACTCAGATAATACCTTCCATGTGCTCCTCTGCAGATGGTGAAATCTATACAAAGTAAGCCCCATCTCTGCTCTTCCCTGAGCCTCTTTTTCAAAATACGAAAACACCCGGTCCACCTGCTTAAGGTTATCCCAGGTTGACAGCTACATGGTCAGTCTGCTTCTAAGTTCTAATTTATTTAGACATTTTTTTAAAAATTT